GAATTAAGAGAATGGGGTTGAGATACTCGAATTAAAGGAAAACATGAAAACGCTCCCTTAACTAAGCCAGACCGCCATAAGGAAGAAACTGCTGCTCCTTCTACTACCCATAAGGAGCAAACCGCCCCTGAAACTAACCCAGACCGGCAAGCTTTTAAGAGAGCAAGTAGAATCGGCTAAAAGTCAAATATTAGAACAAATTAAAGAAATTCAAGAGCAAGTAAACCAAAATATTACGCCCTTAGAAACTGAAAAGCCAGAAACTCCGGAAAGCGAAGATGAAGAAGCCCCTCCTACTCAACTTTTAGAACAGCAAGAAAAAGAATTAAGAAAGCAAAGAGCCCAGGCCAAAGCCCAACTTACTCACGAGCAAAAGCAACAACAAGCCACTAAAAAAGAACTAACTCAACTTAAATCAGCAGCCACCAAAGAAACTAAGAAACTAGAACAAACTCAACAAAAATTAGCTCAACCAACTAGTTCTAAACAACGCCAAGAATTACAAAAAAAGCAACAAGAAAGCCAAGAAAAGTTAACCCAAATTCAACAGCAACTTCAAGAAAAGCAAGAACAATTAAATCAACAACAGCAACAAACCGAGCAATCTCAACAAAAAATCCAAGAACTTAGCCAGCAAATCGAACAAACTCAAACGCAAAGGCAATCTTCCCAACAATCCCAAGCCGAAAAGCAATTAGAAAAAGAAATCGAACAAAAAGAAACCGAAGCCACCCAGGCTCAACAAGAAGAACTGCAACAGCAATGACAACAGATTAGTCAAGCCCAGCAGCAAGTTTTAGAAGAGCAAACGGAAAGCCAAGAATCTCCTCCGGATGAAAAAGCGAAAAAAGAAGCCCAAGAGCAAGCCGAAGCGGAAGAAGAAGTTAAAGAATTAGAAGAGGAAGCTGCGGCTACCCAAAATCAAATGACTTTATTTATGCTTTATTTGATTATTTTCTTGCTCGAATATATCGTTTATAAACGCAATGGTTTACCGGGATTAGTTATTCTTAACATAGCCCTAGCCATCGCTTACTATCACAAAGATAAAATTCTCCAATACCAAGATTTATGAGATAAATATGTCTTAATTATCGGCTATATCATGGGTAATGTTTTAACTTATAATGCTGTCCAAAAACCGGAACATAAATGACCTGCCGTAGCGGGCTACAACGCCATTATTCTGGCTATTTGAGGCTATACTAAATGAAAAACTTCCCAAATCCAGCAAAAACAAGAAACTGCCCAAAAGAAAGTTATCCAAAAAAGCATCCAAAAAGAATTAACTAAAAACCAAATTGCCGAAAAAGAATTACCAGTTAAATTCTATAATTGAGAAGAAAAAGTCCAAGATAAACCCTTAGAACAGACTGCTAAACTACAACAAGAACTTCTCCATGCCATTCAAGAGCAAGTTGAAGCTCAAAAGCAAGCCGAATATGTCCGCCAGCAAGAGGAAATCGCCCAAGAACAAGAAAGAATTGCCCAGGAATTAAGGGAACAACAAAAAGCAATAGAGCAAACCTTAGCCGCAACCGGAAAACTTTCTAGTGATTCGATAGTAGTTAATGCGGAGGGGTTAGACGAAAGATTTCCCGGCTTTCAGAGCGAGTTTCAAAGAGTAAAGGAATGATTATATTCTATTTTGCCGGCAGGACAAAAAACTAACACTTTAACTACTACCATCCAAGAAACTAATTTAAGTTTAGAAGAGCGAAGTCTCCTAACTAAACTTTACCTTAACGAAGAACAAATCCTCGCTATTGCTCTCCGAAGCCAAAAAGTTAAAAACCACGAGCAAGAATTACGAGAAAAATATCCTAAATTAGCTACTGAACAAAAATTAAAATTGCTTAACCTTGGCTTACAAGCCTTAAACTTTAAAACTTCCGAAAGCAAAACTAACTTAGTTAAATTAAGACAACAAATTCTCACCGAAAGACAAAACTTTGACTTATCTCCCACTGAAAAAGAGCAAACACTAAAATTTTTTATTACCCAACTAGCTTTAAGCGATGAGCAACAAGATAAATTAGAAGACATGGGCATTAGTTTATTTAACGCTTCCAATTGAAAAAGGGATTACTTACGGCCAAGAAAGTCAAGAAAGAACCTGAGTAACTGTTCAAGCCCTTGATTTAAGTCATAGCAATCTTTTATTCACCCAAGGCTTTAAGGCTACTAAAAACTACGATTATTTTGAAATATTGGCTTTTGCTTTTGGTCTGATAGTTGCTAAAAATCAGGATACTAATTGAGAAAAATGAAAAGAATTGGACTTAAACTTTACCGAAGAATTAGTAAAAGAATGACAAAAATGAGGCTTTAATTATGAGATGGCTAGGCAGTGAAATGATATTGGTTTCGGCACCACCGATGCAAAATATTGTGCTTGATTAAAGCAAGAAAATTTAACTCCGGAATGAGTTTTAAATGAGGGCAATGCCGACACTCTTTGCGAACAGTTTACGGAAGTGGAGAACAGTTTAGTTCCTTTAAATGCTAAGCAATTAAGTTGAAACCAATTTTTAACTAATAATCCGCCTCTCTCCGAAGCCTGAGAACAATATTTAACTTACCAAGCGGAAAAACTCCAAACTCAGTTAGAAGCTAACCGCCGAGAATTCGCCGAAAGAGAAGCGATTACTTCCGCCGAACAAAATAAAAAAGTAAAATTAAGCGAACTAATTCCTAGTTTAGCCGAATATATTGATAAAAAGTTTCAAGAAAGCGGCGGCCGAACTTTTGCTCCTCATCCAGAATCAACCGGCACTTCTAGCACTACTACTAGCCAAAAACCAGAGCAACCGGCTAATACCGGTTCTCGTTACGATGACCTCCTAGCTAATTTAAGCCAAGAAGAAAGGGAACGTCAACAAAAGAAAAAAAATCGCGAAGAAGCCCGCCGTAAGTTAGATGACTTAGAATTTAACCGCCGAGAACAAAATTTAGACACTAAACAGCAAAAAATCAAAACCGAAGAAGAACGCCGCCAGCGCGAGAGAGAATTAGAAGAACAAGAGTTAAAGGCTCGTCAACAAGCTTTTGAAGCTCGCCAAAAAGAGTTAAGAGAGCAAGAAGAGAAACGCTTAACTAGTCAAGCCGAACAAATCGAAACTAAGAAAAAAATGGCCGAAGAAGCCTTAGCTATTAAGCAAAAAGAAGCCGAGCTAGCCGAACAAAGAAAACGCACCGAAATCGAAAAAATGGAAAAGGAAAACGAGCAAGAACAAGAGCGGTTAGTAATGCGAGCTAGGTTAATCGAAGAAGAAATGCAAAAAAGGTTAGCCCAAATTGCCCTCGAAGACCAAGAATCTCGGCAAAGAATTGAAAAAGAATGTCAAGAAAGAAAAGCCCAGTTGGAAAGAGAAGTTTTGGAACTAAAACGCAAGAATGAGCGAGATTTAATGCTTAAAGAGCAAGAATTAGAGAAAGAAAAAGCCGAAAAAGAAGAACAAATCAGTCATTTAAGAAAAGAAGCCGATTTAGCGGAGAGAAATTTCCAAGAAATGCAAAGTAAAATCGCCGAAGAAAAAGAAGCTCAGGCAAAATTAGGTGAAACTACCGGCAAAGCCAGAGAGCAAAAGATGGCCGCTGGTCAAGTTCATAAAACAGCCCTTGCCGCCGTTTATGAGTATTATCTAGATAATGAAGAGATTAGCAGTTGCACTAATATTAGCCATACTACGCCAGGCGGTTCAGCTTTACCAAGTGTCCGGAGTTTATTTGCTAGTCATCCCGAAATGCGGTTAAATATCTTTAATGCCAAAGTAATGAGTTCCGGAGAAAGTGGCGATAAAGTAAGTATGAGTACTGGTCTAAGGTCAGTTTATTGAAATGCTAAGGAATTAACCACTTTAATTAATAAGTGTTTAGGTAATAGTTTTTATAGCAAAGAGGGCTTGGAAGCCAAGATTAAGAGTATTAGTGATCCGAATTTTTTTAATTAATCGATGATGGAAGAGTTAAGACAAGAAATTCAAGCTAGAAAAGCCGAGTTTGAGACTATTAAGGAAAAAGTAAAGAGTTTGGGGGAAGTAGCCAAGGAAAATAGCATTGAGTTAGAGAAAGCCGTTGAAGTTATTCGCAAAGTTAAAAAACTAGTTGGTTATGCTATTGGATATATGAGTTTATCATCGGAAGTAAGGAAAGAAAACGGGATTTTAGAAATGTTGAATGGAATAAAGATTGCTGTGGATGGTTTAGGTAGTTAATGAAGAAAGTTTATTTAGGAGAGAGAGTATTTAAACCTAACACTATTAACCAAGGAGAGGGCTTAAAACTCTTAAAATCTTTACCGAACAACTCAGTTAAATTAGCCTTCTTTGACCCTCAATATGAAAAAGCAAACCATGTTTTTCGCACTAAAAATTGACCATTAGTTTACCAAACTTCCACCCAAATTAGCCAGTTTTTAAAAGAAATTGCTCGTATCTTAAAGCCCTCGGGTTTTTGCCTTTTGTGAATAAATAAGTCTATTTTAGTTAGTAAACAAGCCTTAACTTGGCTACAAAAATCTCGCCTAAAAATAAAAGACTTACTAATTTGAGTTAAGCCTCATTTTGGCCTGGGTGCTTATTTTAGAAATCAAGCGGAGTTTGCTTATTTAATCCAAAAAGAACCTTGGCAAAGTAAAGAATTTAAAGACCGTAGTTTAGGGAATGTTTACCATGAACAACCGAAAATAATCTCGCTCAGAAATCATCCGCATGAGAAGCCTTTAACTTTAACTAAGAAACTAATTCAAGCCACCACTGAAAAAGGCGACTTGATAGTTGACCCTTGTGCGGGAGGTTTTGGAGTTTTAAAAGTTTGCCGGGAAACTGGGAGAGAATTTATTGGCTATGATTTAACTTATCAGGGATTAAGGGAGTTTAAGGCTAAAAAACCTCAGATTCAAGCTTTAAATAAAGTTTGTTTAGATTGTTGGGGGTTTATTCGTTAAGAATTTCTAACAATCATTCCTTGAATTTAATGGTTAAATAATCCTTAATATCTACCTCCTTAGTTGGAATTTGGGGTTCCATAGATAGGCTGGATTTGGAGAGGTTGTTGTTCTGTTTTTTCTTTATTCACTAATTGTTCTAAACATTTACAAATAAACCCGCCTTGTCAATCAGTGGCACAATCATGGACAAAGTCAGTTATATCATCTGCTGCTCTTCCAAGCCTAGCAAATCTTCCTAGCGGCTCTGAAGATTGAGAAACGCTGGCTATTCTAGATACTTCCTTAATATCTTCTACTCTTTTTTCGATTGCCCCCAAAACGTTTTGTCTTTCTTTTTCTAGCTTATCCTCTAGTTCTTTAACTCTTAAACTCAAACTTGTTTTTTCTTTTTCATTAAATTCCAGTTCCATTTCAGCTTTCATAAGTTTCCTTTCTGCTTCAAGGAAAACTTGGTTTAATTGTTCTCTTTCGACTGGATTAGTGACCTTATTCAATTGTTTTGCTAGTTTTGCTTTTTTAGATCTTATTGTGTCTAACTTTGTTTTAGCATTAGCAACTTGTTTTTCTTTAGCTTCAATTTGTTCTTGTAATTCTTCTTCCTTGGCTTGGAACTTAGTTTGTAATTCAGTTAGTTTGGCTTGGAGCTCTCGGTTTTTTTTCTCCGTTTTTCATAGTTTTCATTTTCTTAAATTATAGTTATAAGGTCTTAATTGCTCAGCAATTTTGACTACTTTTGCTCCTTTCCTTTTGCCAACCGGAAGTATTATTCAAGTTCCATGCCTGAGGTCTTCAAAGAGAATTTTTCCAATATCAGCATTTTCTAAGCATTCTAATCCGTTGTCAATATCAGTATTAGCGATTTCTATTTCTTCTAAATTAGTTAAACCTTTTAAATGCTCTAAACTTCCATAAAAGCGGTTGTAGATTCCTTTATCTATCCTTTCTTGCCTAGCAGTTCATAATTTCAAAGATTTTAAATTAATAAATCTTTTAAAAAAACTCAAATCTTGAGTAGCAAAATCATTGTCACCGATATCAAGGTAAAATAGTTTTTCTGGATGCGGTAACCTTTTTAAAAAGTCTATAGAAGTGAATAAATTAACTTGACAAGCCAAGTCGGCAAGACAACGACAATTGCTCAAATCTAGGTCTCTTAAATCATTAATCTTAAATGTATAATTAATTATACATTTAAGTTGGATTAGTTTGGAGCAACCGTCGACCTTTAATTCAGTTAGAGGGGTTTTTAAATCTCTTCCATCAACTATCAATTTTTCTAAATTAAAATATTCAGATAAATTTAGTTCTCCCCCCTCGACTTCAGAAAGAGGATTTTCTCGATTGATAATAATCTCTTTTACTTTTTCTTTGTCTTCTTTAGTCGGATATTTTTGGTTTAAGTATTTTTGAATATTAACCATTATACTTTTATTTTTAAGAAAGTTTAAGAAAAAACCAACTAATCGCCCACTTTCTTTATTAAAACAACAACCCCAAATCATCCACAAACCAACCTAAACCTTTATTCCACCTAAATTATCCTTCCTATACAAAAACTCTAACCCTAAAAACCAGGACTAAATTAAGCTTAATTAACCTTATTCAGGCTTGCTTTAAGTTTTGCCCGCCTTATCATGTTTATTTTTTTTCTTGTTCGTTCGTTGCGGGCTTTATTCGGCTTTTCCTGGCTCGGTTTCTTTTAATTAAATGCTCGCCCACTTGCTTTAATCGTCCTTAAATAAGCACTAGTCAACAGTTAACTTTATCTTTAAACAACCTTTCTCTACTAGTTCGAACCAACCCTTTCCTTAAAAAGCATCCTAGTTAGTCAACTTAAAAGTTCAGTTTTCAAATGTTTTATCCGCCGCCTTTCTTTTCTTTAAGTTTCTTCTCTGGTAAAAGCATCCTTAATAAACGCTTAGCTATTCGTTTCACTCATATCACG